CCATGTTCCAACCGTATTCTTGTTTTTCAGATTCTACTTCAATTAACTTAGTGCGATATATATTAGGAGAGATGGAGACTGTCAGACTGTACTGAGATTGGTGTATTTATTACTCTGAGGTTCTACGTCGTAGTTTCAATTGCATGTGTTTTCGAGTGAATGTAAGACTAGCAGCACTGTAGGAATCAGCTAGTGATCACGCACATCCACAGTTTCGTCGAGTTCACGTTAGCATGTAAATTTCTTTCTCCTGCATTTCTGTTAATATCTTGAATGGGTGATTCAATAAGTGTTATCAAATTCAAAGTGAATCTAGGGATATTTGTATCTTAAAAGGAATACTCTCTGTCTTTTTTATGAAATGAAACATATTTTCCATGATATATTATCGACTGGTAAATGACACCGCTTGTGGAACTAGTGTTATGAAACATCAGTTCACTTTTCATAAAATTAAAAATCAATTAACCCCTTGTCAGCCTCCACGCCATGATCAGCCTCGCAAATTAAATGCTTCACAATTTATTTCACAAAAACCAACTGTTTTCAATACACCTCCGCCAATATCACGCGATTGATGTCGGTGTTGTATTGTGAATCTGAAGCCCTTCCGCTCTACAACACTGTACGTTGTGTGTTTGTTCAATTTTTGTGCGATGCGATTGGTGTGTCGCATATGGTCTGCGGAATGTGAACCTTTTTGTTCAAAGCGATAAAGCCAATGAAGAGGGACTCCCGATATGGACGACGTACACATATTGTCTAATTAGACAAATAACATCATACACACATTTTTTGTGTGATTGTGAGTACGCAGAAAGTTTCATTGATGATGAAGTGCTATTGCTGTTGAAACTAACGGCTAGTAGAAAGGACTAAATAACGAGTGAACATACTTGTCCCGATGTACAGTCACTAAAATTCCTAGAATTTCTTAGTATACTGTTCTATGTACACTTTTGATAAAATTATGAATATTTGACATTCAACGTGTGTACAAAGTTTTGTATTCTTGCCACACAGAGTAATCACCAGATTAGCTAAAAGAAAAACACTGAGAGCAGAAATGGCGGAAGCTAATCAAATTGAGATATCGCTGAACTTCAAGAAATGCTGAAATATAAACTACAGATATATGTCCTAACAAGTAAAGCAGATCACCCACATTCCATTGAGAACATTTATTTTACTCTCGCTATGATGCGAATGGTCACAAAAAGACGACAAAACAAAACACAATTTTTTCCAAGTCTGTTTCATTTCGGATCAACGAAAAAATGACCTTATTTAATCACAAGAGAGGCAACCAACCTAATGTGTTTGCAAATCATTATTATTATTTTCTTAATTTACTTAGACTCTTTCTATACTAGTGAAATATTTGTACGGGGGAATGAAATAAGGGTCGTCGTCTTCAAATAGTCAAGAAGGGGAAGAAGAATGGAGAAGACATCTACCTTGAACAAGTAGAAACATTGCTCTAGTAGATCAATGTTATTAATTGGTCAGCAAGAACTTAGGAGAGTTGTGAAATTCTCGGGTTTTTAACGCTATGATCTTAACCGAAATGTGGAGACCTGTAACTAATAAGGTGCCCGTTAAGGTAAATTAAAGCTCTCTAGATGCTCTCGGCGTATAACAATCCCTGACGGATGCACCGTGCATTCGTCTTCAAATTTTAACTTCGCTTGAGGTGAATAAATGCACATCTGGCCTTACAATGATTTGCAGTGGCCTCCCGATGTCTCGAGTCAGTGCTGCTTCTCCTCCCTGACAAGTCTGAAATCAGTCTGGTACCAATTTATTGACCCCGAAGGGACGGATGGCTTGGTGAGCCCATGAGCGCGAGATCGAAACATCGACCTTATATGTTAGGCGAAGCACATCTAATCACTGCACCACATGCGCCTTTTTTCGCGAGTTAATCATTTGGAAAATGCCTTCGGAAAAAACCAAAAACCAAAGTAATAATGCTGAGCACCGAGAACTATGATTCGGAATCGGTCCGCTCTCTTGGTGTCAAGTGGATCCATTTCCAGGAGCCCATTTTGGCTTTTTATTTGACGTTACATGAATAGAACTGACGTTATATCCATATCATCATTGACGTAAGGAGAAAGGTTCGACAAGGCGTTACAATTTTGCCAAATTATTCACTGCCACCCTACAAAACGTCATGCGGACATTAGAATGGGACGATATGGGAGTGAAGATTGACGGTCGACAATTGAACCATCTTCGCTTTGCTGACGATATGGTCTTCATAACACCAAATATCAACCAATCGGAACGAATGTTGACCGATTTCAACAACGTCTCTGGAAAAATTGGTCTTCAATTAAATTTAACGAAAACAATGTTCATGAGGAACGGATGGGTTTGAATGTTCCATTTGTGCTCAACTAAACGAACATCTGCGAATGCTCCAGTTACGTCTATCTAGTTCGTGAAATCAACATGATGAACGACCTTGCTCCAGAGTTGAGTAAGAGTAAACCAACGGCTTGGGGAGCGCTTAAGAGCATCAAAGCTGTAGTGTAGAAGACAAAGAACATCCGACTCCATGCCCACTTTTTCGACTCGACGATTATCGCTGCCCTAACGTATGCAGCAGAAACCTGGTCGCTACGTAAGCAGAATGGAAGATCACTTGGCATTATTGAACGCGCAGTTGAAATGTCGACGCTAGGAGTATCCCGTACCTCGAAAATAAGAAGGAGGATCCGAAGTTCCGACCTGCGTCAACGACCGAAAATCAAAGACGCCGTTCGACACTCCAGGATATCGAAAATAAGGTGGGCCGGACACGTGAAGCGCTTCAACGACAACCGATGGACGAGAGCCGTTACCGACTGGATTCGTCGGGACATCAAGCGCTCTACATGAAGACCACCGACTCGTTGTTCCAATTTCTTCACGAAAGCTTCAGAAGAAAGATATGATGTTTATCGAATCACTAGAGCGAGGAGGACCCACTGGGCTACTCTTGCACGCTATAGGGAAAAATAGAAGTGTTGCTGGTACCCTCTCGAGTCACTCGACGATCAACTAGACGACAGCTGATACAAATGATACTCATAGGGTTCTGTATATAACATCATGATACAGCTTAAGAGCAATAAAAATAGTAAGTTCATTAAGAGTTATTTTCAGAGCACTAAGATAGTGAGAGTTAATGTAGTAGTCTATCCACGTCAATAATGCGGTGATCCTCACGACGACGACGAGCGATGGTGATGACAGATTTGTAACATGAGTCAATAGTGAAATGGAAGGGATTGAAGAGAGCACGAGTGTGATGGGAGGCCCAGAGCAATAGCTCTATGGCAAAGATAATGTCAGGCACTATTCACTACTGGCAACGATTAGAGAGACAATAATGCTGATCGAACTACTGCTTGTGAGGAATTCAATAGGGACTTTACTATCCATCGGAGCTGACGGCCTATTGAAGCAATCGTAGAGCACTGTGTAATGGAAAAATAAAAGTAGGTAATCATGAATGGCCTTGGATTGTCTTTGCCAATTGCAAGAGTATATGGGATCGTATCGAAATTCGCTAAAATTTTGGATCTGTGATTTAGCTGTGATTCGTCAAATCGCTAATAGGTGTTTTTCAAACTTCTTCAGTGCTCAGTATCGTGGTATCACTGTAGTAAGAGAATGCACGCAGGGTTATTACTATTCAAGATAACTTTCATGGAATATCGTAGAACTCTTTGTATGAAGCAACTTAGACAATCAAGATAGGCTTTCGGCGTGAACGACGTGCACGACATATTTAGTGAACAAGGAAGGAAACTCAAATACTCATACTTTTTGGTGATTCTGAGTACACAGACTGTCGAATCAGCAAGCAATCGCTGCCGCTCTGTAAAGCGCTTACACAGAAGACCGAATGGCGAGAGATCAAACACGCTCCGACATAATTCGCCGTAGTGTGAAATTTGGAATGCGCCATTATAATGTTTCCTGAAAATTTTGGGAAGCTATGAATGCTTGATATACAACGCGTATAGAGAACATCCTCAGAGCAGAGGTTTAATCGCATATTAGTTGAACTGCCAGCAGTAAAGCAAATCTCCCAACGGAGCTTTGCTGTCTTTTCCGAAATTACATGATAATTTAGGAAACGCAGATGGTCCATAGCCTTAGAGAGCAAACGGTATGCACAGGTTCGAGGACCTTAGATGGAAATGGTCCGAGTGGCACCCAGCTGCCACCATCGTCAACAGTCAGTTCGATCATGGGGCATCATCCGAACGGTTGTTTCACTTCATCCGGACCACCTCACCTCCAATCGTAATCGATCCATTATTGCTCTCTTCACAAAATCTCTTTGCCGTGTATCTAATTACCATCATAAGGTTGTGTTTATTGGATTTTCAAATGAACTCAATAGAAAGGTGAGCGGAACATAGCAATTCCGTGGCGGCGCGAACTCAATTAGGCTATGCTTGGCCCACCACCGCGGTATAGGGATTCTGCCCATACATAATCATTGGTGACCCCACTGCTGACACACTATATATTCACCCACTGAATCCCACCGTTGGCTTGTTTTTTCGGGGTGAGCATAACAACCCAAAGGGGCCCCGCCGCCTAGTCATGCTCCGTGAGTTACAATAACACCGTAAGTCACAATAACAACGTCAGTTACAATAACATCTTCAGTTACAATAACACTGTCAGTTACAATAATATTCTAGCATCGTCAGATGACGATAATTCTCATCAATCGGTCACTCACATTGACATAGGCATATGTTAACATAACGATATACCACAATCATGAATATATCATTAATACAGTAATGTAGGTGCATCATAAGTTGTTTGGTTTTACCATATTGCTTGGTACCACACCATTGCTTGGTTTCACCTTATTTTTTGGTATAACCCATACAAAAGATTTAAACTTTGCGCTCTTATCCGTTACGAGTACAAGTGGGTAGCAGATTAAAACAACAAGACCATTACTGAATCTTCACCACATTTGGTGCATTGACCGGAAATCGAAGCCGGGTCGCCCGCTTGGCAGGCGAGCATTCTGCCACTGACTCTCCACCACATTTGGCACATAGCCTACTCATAGATCGGGGCACTCAGCAGAAAGCATCCACTTCCTGGTACATAGAGCGGGGAACTAGCAAGAAAGCCCTCACTTCCTGGTGATTAGAGCGGGGAACTACTAGCAAGAAAGCCTCCACTTCCTAGTGCATAGAGCAGGGAGCTAGCAAGATAGCCACCCTATACGGCGCATCAGCCGACTGCGTTCGCGTACTAGTCGCCAGTGAATCTTGCGTGCAAAGGACACTGCCTCACCAGACGAATGAAGTATTCTCATTAACTCATCATTGCAACAACACAACTCTATGAGTAGCTGAATAGTACGACTTCATCAAGTCATGACCAAACAACCTCAAACTTGGGAAACCACCCGGTTCGTTTGAATTCAGTCATTATATCAAAGTAACTCTCCATATCACTGTATGGAAAGTGCTGAAGCAAAAATAAAGCAGGAAATATAAAACGTCAACATTATGATGGACCAGTGCATCGTGGTAGCAGCCAAAGTTGGAAAAGTTCAGCGTATCCCTAAAAATACACTTACTACGCTCAACGTTACGTTGTGGTCTACATAATCTTACTTTTGCTCAATCAAGGGTATTCCTAGCGTCCATTAACACCAAAACGTGATAAACAACCTCAGCTTGGGTCTTCATATCTACGCCCCCGCACCAGTCGTGGCATCTAAGGGACTAGGTCTAAGTGGGTACCGTCTAAGAAGTCCATTAAACTACAAGTTCCGTCCGAATAGACGAATAAACTACAGAGACTATCTCAATTTTCTTAGTTGAACCAAACATAATGAACAACCTCCACGTCATTGAGACCAATATCTCTAAACTCTCTTTTTTTCTCATCCTTTCTTACAAATCCATTTTGATCTTTAGTTACACGCTTCACCTAAATATTAATTCCAAGTCTCTAACATTTCATAGGACTTTCTTCGTTTCCGTCAGACATCTCGTCTTCAAACATGCAAGACGGCATGACCTTCAGTCCCGTAGACGCACTGACCTATTGAGTCTAGAGAATGAAAATGAACGTTTCGAGAGGCCGGAGTATAGCAAATCTCCCAACGGAGCTTTGCTATCTTGTTCGAAATTACATGATAATTTAGGCAACGCAGATGATCCATGACCTTAGAGAGCAAATGCTATCGCAGAGGTTCGAGGACCCTAGATAGAAAATGGTCCGAGTGGCACCCAGCTGCCACCATCGTCAACAGTCAGTTCGATCACTGGGCATCATACGAACGGTTGTTTTACTTCATCCGGATCACCTCAACTCAAACCGTAATCGATCCAATATCGCTCTCTTCACAAAATCTCTTTGCCGTGTATCTAATTACCATCATAAGGTTGTGTTCTTTAATTGTTAGATAAACTCAATATAATTTGTGAGCGGAGCATAGCGCTTCACCCTTTTGTTTGGTATAACCCATACAAAGGATTTGAACTTTACGCTCTTGTCCGTTGCGAGACACAACTGGGTAGCAGATTAAAACAACAAGACCACTGAGCTTTCACCACAAGCATTGATAACAAAAAAAGCCTTCAGATTAGAAACTGCTCACTGTCAATCGTCATGGATTACAAACCACTGATGTCTAAGTCAACAATTGAATAATTGGTCCGAGTGCATTTGAGATACGTTCATTCCACTCTTTCTAGCATGCAAATGCTCACAAGAAGACAATGTAGCTCCAAACACAGAATTTTGGTGCTTGGACAATCTACTGTATATACTTATCGGATTAACTAATATTTTTTTGAAGTTGAAAAGGAGATAAGTGTAGAAGAAGGTTATGGAACATATCGCACTATGTTGCAACTGTAGTATTTGTTGGTTCAGTGATTTCACAACGTAGATCTGAGAGCAAATGTGCTGAAAATGTGTAACTGATTACAAATACCTTTGAAATTCAATGGTATCCTGTATGGAGATTCGTTAAGTGCTATATCAAGTTTAATGCGCCCGTAACAGCCTTTTCTCTCAGAAGGATTACTCTTAGCTTCGCTTTACATTTGCTCAACAATAAAATTTATTTACGAGGATGGTACCGCTTGACAATGTGGGTATGGGAAATAATTTCTCTTTTAAAAAATGTTAAGGAACGGTTTTAGAAGTTACGTCATGACCACCATATATCTCAGCGTCAGTAATCCAGCAATGACAATGATGTACAAAAAACACGAGTAAGCAGCGTCGTGGCTGGCATATTAGAGGGGTTATAACGAGAAGGTTGTGACGGAGACATCCAGAGTACCAGCTATGCAAAAATAACTGCGGAACGTTACTAATTGCTCACACTGAAAATTAGACCATATCGCCAATCAAGGGACTGATTGTGAGGAATTCATCAGAATAGTTCCTACTGATCATCAGTGCTGAGCGCTCACCACCGCAAACGTACCACTCGTTGTAATGGAAGAATAGAAGTAGAGATTGTCATACATGTAGCAATGACAATAGTTGAAGTTTCCGCGAAAACTAATGAGAGCTTATGAGCTTTCATGCAAGCATGTTCTTTTTCAGATCTTCTTCGGAGTTTTTTTTTCATTGCCATCGTACCTACATCAGTAATTATCCAAATACATTCACTTAGAGGCAGCTAATCTGACGATATAAAGAGCTGTTTCGCCTTTCCAAGTTCAACAGTAGCACTATGCCACCAGCCATAAGTGCTCGACTGTGGTCACTGCGTTGTTGGAGGAATTCGTTGCCCGACCTGCGGCGATTAAATAACTAGGCGTCGATTCTTTGCATGCAAGGGATCGGCTGACCTGGAACGCAGATTGCTACTGTTGAGTCTGCAAAGGCTAAATAGCTGTCTGATACTGCATAAGTGCCATACCAGACTGCATAAAAAACTTAAAACATGTTACAATGTTATCAGATTATCGGACTATTCTTATTTCTGAATGAGCCCTATATAAACAGTTGAAAGTTAAAAGATAAAAAGAGTGTCACAAAGAATCAAAAGGCAGGCAGGGCTGTCACTATTTAGGAATACACTGTTGGTATATTGCTAAGTGCATGTGGAACATGTGGGTCCGATCGATGTGCAACTCACTAGCAGTCCATTATGTGTGGAACTTTTTGTTTAGCGAGGGTGGACGATGAACATGTCGCTTTTATGAGCATGGAAAACAATCAATTGCTCATGTATACTCGTAATTATGCGTGCACAGAAGGGCAGATCAGTGTGGGATCGCGGCTGAAATGGAAGTTGTTTGCAGAAAGGACAGATTATCAAGACATAGAACTCGTTTGTGAAGTCGTCTTGGTGAGGTTCAAAAAATGTTTTTGAATATTCTTGGCTGACTCACGAGTATCTGGCATATACGGCGTGTAGAACAATGAAAATTTTACTTTAGATCAGATTTTGATTTGCCTATCAGCGTAACCATCTAAGTGAATAGCAGAAAGAAGGGAATGCGAGCGGGATTAGAAAAGTGCGAACTTCACCCAGCATCACAATGCAAACCATTGATCTCTCGCCTAAGAAACAAGTTAGTTTATCCGACTTCATTAAATAGGTCGAAGTATACACAATTTATCGTTCATTTGACTAAATCACTGGAAAGATCAAAATAAGCCGTATTGAACAGGGGAAGTAAATTTTTAAGAGCATCGCTAACCATTTACTTATTATACTGAAGAAGAGTATCAATTGCAACAAAGATTTTACAGCGTAAATATAGCTGGCAACATATCACTGAGATGTAAAACTGTCAATCCGATGGTAATCATCGAAATATCAGTGGTTTTCTCGTGTCCGCAGTGTCGGTCACAAATTTCGTGTCTTCGAAACTCTATTGGTGTACTTGATGGATGGTTCATTAGGTGCCATACCAGACTCAGTTCTTTTAAAGACAGCTTTCTATCTCAAAAAATTTTTTATCATCCTTGTTCTACAATAATCTCTATTGAATTTGAGCTGATAGGAAATGGCACCACTTGTGTAGTGTAGATTACGAAACACTGTTTTTTGCAGAAATATAGATTAGATGAACTTTTTTGTCTGTTACCACATCATGATCACCAGATATGTCGGTTTTCATTGTACATAGTGTAATTGTTTGTAATAAAAACCTTTCCGCCTCTGCTCACGTGATCGGTAACGGTGTTATACTGTAATTATACGAACCTCCTACTGTGACATTGTACTTTGTGTGTTTGCTGGAAATTCTATACGTAAGCCTGGGACTGTTTTGAGGTCCAATCGAAACTCTGCTCATCTGACCGCCGAGTATACACGAGACTTCTTGTTAAACAAAGAAAGGAGACTTTTAGCAAAGAGTACGTGCACGACATACTTGTTCAGATAAAAAACCCATATCTATTCATTAAAAGCATGATTATGGCACGCCTAAAGACAAGTCAGTGAGAAATGGATCAAACTCATTCCGATCAATTCGCCGTGTTGAAATCCCAAAAAATTCCTACTGTAGTGGTCTCTGAAGAATTTCGGAGAGTTATGAATGTTAGCATACAACGTGTATAGAATTGAAGAATACCCCTGGATAGGATTTTAGTTTCGTGTATTAGCCTGATCACCAACACTAGTAGCTAGGGGGAGCAAACCAATCGTCAAATCAATATTAGGGATTCGTCAAAGTACACTTGTCTTCAAAATACAAACTATTCTTGTCAGACCTAATGAGTTTTTAGTTCTTGTTAATTTAATTCAAATGTTTTCACTACACTCATAGATAATATATAATTTATTGAATGCACTGATCGAATTCAATGGAAAAAGGTTGAAAAAAATATTGTTGTATGGATGACGTGATCACATTTAGAAAACATAGCCGACTCATTTTTTATTAAAACGAGAACGGACTACATATTGTCTCAAAGACTTCGCAACCTGGATTCAATTGACAATATCTTCAAGAAATGTGAAGTTATCAATCATCTACTGATTTTATAAGTATCCTCATGTTCTTTGAGCGCGCAATAACCTTCCAGGTTTATTTAAATTCTAGTAAACTGAGT